GACATCATCTCTGCCCTGGTCACCAGGTACAAGCTGGACTCAGCTGGGTGGGGGGGCCCAGGTTGGCCCTGCCCCCTTCCCAGCCCCCCTGATCCCCCTGCCCCCCCAGCACCTTCATCATCGAGAAGCAGCCCCCCCAAGTGCTCAAGACACAGACCAAGTTTGCAGCCACCGTGCGGCTCCTGGTGGGGGGGAAGCTGAACGTGCACATGAACCCCCCCCAAGTGAAGGCCACCATCATCAGCGAGCAGCAAGCCAAGGCCCTGCTGAAGAATGAGAGCACCCGCAAGTAATGCCAGGGGCTGGGGCTGCCGAGGCAGTGGGGAGCAGGGAGGGGAAGGGCTGCACTTTGCACAGCTCCCAGTCCTGCTCATCTCCTGACTCTGTGCATTCCCATGGCAGTGAGAGCAGTGGGGAGATCCTCAACAACTGCTGTGTGATGGAGTATCACCAGGCCACTGGGACGCTCAGCGCCCACTTCCGCAACATGGTGAGTGCCATTCTTCCCCGTTCTGTCCCCTTGTGTCCCTCTGTCCACCCCGGTGTCCCCATCTACTCCTCCACGCTCACCCCTCGTGTCCCTGCAGTCCCTGAAGCGGATCAAACGCTCGGATCGCCGTGGGGCTGAGTCAGTGACAGAGGAGAAATTCACCATCCTCTTTGAGTCACAGTTCAGTGTTGGTGGGAATGAGCTGGTCTTCCAGGTGAAGGTAAAGCCACTCTGTCCCTTCTGCAGGCCCTAGGCAAGGCACTATGCCCACAGGAGTAGGGCTGGGCTGAGGCCACATGGGTGCCCGTGGGTGATGTTCCCTTGGTGCCCCACAGCCCATTCTGGTCTCCTTCCTCTCGGCAGACGCTGTCCCTGCCTGTGGTGGTGATTGTTCATGGGAGCCAGGACAACAATGCCACGGCCACCGTGCTTTGGGACAATGCCTTTGCCGAGCCCGTGAGTGCCACTGCAGTGGGGGCAGGACAGGCCCCATCTGCCCTGAGCAGATGTGGGAGCAGGGCTCAGCCTCCTGCTGGGACATAGCTGCTGGTGCTGACCATGCTCTCTGCCCCCAGGGCCGCGTGCCCTTCGCTGTGCCTGACAAGGTGCAGTGGCCACAGCTCTGTGAGGCCCTCAACATGAAGTTCAAGGCAGAGGTGCAGAGCAGCCGTGGGCTGACCAAGGAGAACCTGGTGTTCCTGGCACAAAAGCTCTTCAACAGCACCAGCTCCCACCTGGAGGACTACAGCAGCACCACGGTGTCCTGGTCCCAGTTCAACCGGGTACGTGGCCTGGGCCCTGTCCAGAGCCCCACCAGTGCTTGTGCTTGTGGGGCTGGATGGGGTGTACCCACCTGGGGGTCCCTGAGTCTCTGCCACTGTGCCCAGTGTCTGTGCTGTGTAACAGAGGCTCAGAGGCTGGTGACAGGAATGCTCATTTTCTGTGGATTTGCACAGGAAAACCTGCCTGGGAGGAATTACACCTTCTGGCAGTGGTTTGACGGGGTCATGGAGGTGCTGAAGAAGCATTTGAAGCCGCACTGGAATGATGGGTAAGAGCCGCCCTGCCCTGTGCTGCCTGGCCCGAGCCCCAAGCCCTGACGCCCTACTCTGCCTAGGGCCATCCTGGGCTTCGTCAACAAGCAGCAGGCGCATGACCTGCTCATCAACAAACCCGACGGGACCTTCCTCCTGCGCTTCAGCGACTCAGAGATCGGTGGCATCACCATTGCCTGGAAGTTTGACTCCTGTGAGTGTGCCCGGCACTGGCATCCCTGGATTGAGTATCCCTGGCCCCATCTCATGCTGTACTGGCACTGCCATGGCAGGCATGCTGGAGCTATCCTCAGGAAAGAGGCGAGCGCCAGAGCTCCCAGAGCACCTTGGCTGGCAGCAGTGGGGAGGAGGAACCAGGCTGAACCCTCCAACCCAGCCCTAGGGACTGATGTGGCTGTACGAAATCCAGTTACTCAGTGGTGCTCCCCAGTGCAGGGGTTGTCAGGGGTGGCCTGACCATGTGCAGGAGTCTGTTGCTATTCACAAGAGCATCCTTTGGAGGGTCAAATGGCTGAGAAGCACCACAGAGCCCCACAGAGCCCATGGTTGGGGAACCAGCCTCCCACGTGGATGAAGCCAGACCTGCCTTGGCTCTGCTGTGCCTCCTACCTTATCCCATTTTCTGGCGATCTGTGCTTTATCCTCAGCTGTTGCTGAGGGAGGGATGCAGTGTGGGACATGCTGTTTGCTGCTTGATGTGACCTGCAGCCCATGTCCAGAGCACGGCCAGGAACTGCTGCAGACTCTGGGAGTCACCATGATCCTCACACTTATCTTGCAGCTGAGAGGATGTTCTGGAACCTGATGCCTTTCACCACCAGGGATTTCTCCATCCGCTCCTTGGCTGACCGCCTCGGGGATCTCAGTTACCTCATCTACGTGTTCCCCGACCGGCCCAAGGACGAGGTGTTCTCCAAGTACTACACGCCGGTTCTCTGTGAGTCCACGCCAGGTAGCGCTGTCCCTTCACCCCACATGTGTCCCCTCCTTTGTGCATCCAGCCAGGATGGAGCTGGTGTTCTCAGCATCCCCCCTGCCCCGGGGCCGCACCAGCCCCACAGGGGTTCTGCATCTGGCCACGTGTGAGCCCCCAGCACTGCCTGGGGTCATGGTGTGTGCTCGAGCTTGGGGCCTCAGTGCTGCCTCCTTCTCTCTAGCTAAAGCTGTGGATGGATACGTGAAGCCACAGATCAAGCAAGTGGTGCCAGAGTAAGTGTGACCCCGAAGGCAGATCCTGGGCTGTGGTTGCCATGGGTTTGCAGCACTGAATTGGCTGGGTTGGGTGGCAGCCCAAGGTGCTGAGGAGCTCAGGTCTGCCACCAGTGATCACACTGGTGCTGAGCCTTGTGAGGTATCTTGGTGACCTCACCCGCAGGGCACCCATCCTGTCCCGTGCCAGTGCTCATGAAACTCATCCCCACAGGTTTGTCAATGCATCAGGAGATTCTGCCCCTGGAGGGGCCACCTACATGGACCAGGCACCCTCACCTGCCGTCTGCTCCCAGCCTCATTACAACATGTACACCCAGAAGTAAGTATCACCCCCCTCTCCCTGTACTGCTGCAGCTGGTCCTCCCCTCACCGCCTGCCTCCCGCAGCCCCGACCCTGTGCTGGACCCCGAGGGTGATTTTGACCTGGAAGACACGATGGATGTGGCGAGGCACGTGGAAGAGCTGCTGCGGCGCCCCGTGGACAGTCAGTGGATCCCCCACGCCCAGTCGTGACAGGCAGGTGCCTGGTCCCTTGCCCCTGGCCCCGGCGCTGCGGGGACTGTGCTGTGTTCGTGTCTCTGTGCCAGGGGACAGCGGGTGGGCCCTGCCCCCAGGATTTGCTCTGTGCTGCCCCGAAACACAGGCCGGCGTCCAGCTCTTTGGTGTTTATGCCCTTGTATAAACGGCAGCGGATTTGTCGCATGGTTTTCCTGTATGTTCCTTTTAAGAGGCCCAGCTTCGGCTTTCCGCTTCTGCCAGCACTGGCCCTGCAGCACCCCCGTCCCCCCGTGAGGCTGCCGGGGCGGGGGCCGCCAGCCCGGCCTCAGGTTTGCTTTCGCAGTCGTCACTAAGAATGTACATGTCGCCTTCTTGTTCTCCCCCGCGGCTCCGTTCCCAGCGGTGCGAGAGGGCAGAGGGCAGAGGAGGGGTTCTGCCAGGACTCCCCTAGCCCGTGCTGGTGCTCTGCTCCACAGTGGCGGGGTCCCTGCACCTCATCTTCTCCTCTGCCCCCAAGGATGCAGGAGCTCCTCCGGCTCCCGGCCTCGGTGTCCGCTCTGGAGCCGGTGGAGGATGGCAGGGTGCGAGGGCACCCAGCGAGGGCAGTAGGGTGGGCAGGGGGTTTGGGGAAGCGGAGCCCTCTGCCCCCTGCCTCTCCCCTCGCCTGGGCGGGAAACTCTGGGGTCCTGGCCATGTTATTTTTCTATCACAGAGTAAATAAAGCACGGAATATTTTTGTAACACAAAAGCTCTGGGTGCCACGTGTGTCTTGGGACAGAGGCGGGTCCCTCTGGGGAGCTCCTCATCTCGGGGGCACCAGATGAATGCTGGGGCTGGGCCTGGTGGTCGGGGTTCCTGTCCTCGAGGGCAGAGTCTTGAGCCTCCACTGGCACAAG